TGTCGTGGAAAAAAGTACATAATTTCTGTCACAATTTGCATGTATGCAGCTGAAAGAACAAACGTTTAACAACATTTATTCTGTCATGTTCTCGTAAAGTTCCAGCTAATAGGGCATAACAAATTGAATTCGACATGAGATGATCGTAGCTGAGAAATACAACCTTTTGGACATGAGTTGGGGGCTGTGTTAGTTCAACAGGGTGCAGATGCTGAGGCCCAGCGAGGGTTTATGAAATTTCACAAAGTCTGGGTGCCACTTGACCTCCTCCCTCTCGCACGCTGATTGGGGAGCCCACAAGAAAGGAGCGATGGTAGGTGGCAAACGCCTTCTTTTCCACCTACTGCTCTAGGTGGAAGGAGAGTTGCTGCAGAAGTTCACCAGCGGCCACCATTTTCACTCAGCTTAAAGTTTTCACCTTGCCAGTCTCACCAGTGCATCGGACATCTGTGTTTCTGTTTCATGAGTCCCAGCCTTTGCAGAAGGGGTATTTGACCTGCCACCTCTGCTGACTCCAGTGCTCCTGTAAGGTGATTTGTTACCACCAGTACCCACTTCTTTGTGTGCTTACATTCTTGTTGAGCCTCGAGGTCTAAATGTCAGTTACATCCTCTTGAGGGTCTGTCTTCTAGCTCTGCACTGTGGCGACTTGGCAGGCAGCGTGCTCTAGGCCTGGAGTTGGACTGATGCCACCTTCAAGGTCCGAGGGTGGCAGGGGGTCTCAGACAGCGCCCTTCTCCAGAGGTGGAGCAAGAGGTTGCAGGGTGGTTTGGTTAGCAGAGCACAGGGAACCCCAGTCCCCTCCCTGTAAGGGACACGTGCACGTGCACGTGCGCTTCTGTCTCCACCCGAGGCCTGGGTACATACGGGACTCAAAACTTGGTTTGTGTGAGGTTGCTTTCTCTTTCAAACTGCATATTCTCCCAAGAAGGGAACTACACAAAGCCACCAGTGCCTTCACTTGAATTATTATTAACCAGAGCATTTTCCTCCTGGAGGGGCCTGCGGGCAGCTTGATGTAGAATAACGGTGGTCATACCTTTTGGTCTCAGGGCCCCTTTACACTCTTAGAAATCAAAGACCCAAAGAGCTTTTTTTGATTTGTGGGTTGTATCAATATTTATCGTATTGCAAATTAAACTGAGAAATTTAAAAAGTATTCTTTAATAACAACTTTAATAAATACAGTTATATGCAAACAGTAACATTTTTAGTGGAAAATAACTTTTCAAAAAAATTATGGCTTTATTCAATATGTTTTGCAAATCTCCTTGATATCTGGCTAAATAGAAGACAGGCTGGATTCTCTCAATTGCTTTTGCATTTCAGTCTGTTATAATGTGTTGTTTTGGTGAATATATATGAAGCAAAACCACCTTTACCACAGATATGTATTGGAAAAGGAAAGGGTATTTTTAATAGCCTTTTCAGATAATTACAGACATTATTCTTTGATACTATACCAAAACTTGACAAGTGACACTTTCTTAAAGTTCAATACAGTGTAGAATCTGACACCCTGTCAGTGAACCGTTTGAACTTTGTTTCACTAAAATGCATTGGTTTCTCTTACACTTGATGGTTTGGTAATATGCTAGCTGAGTTATACAGATCTTCCAACTGTTGACATCTCATTATACAGTATCAAAAAAGTACATTCGTTACTATTCCCACTGATCTCATTGGAAAAGTCCTTAAACCTTCAGGAAACTGTGAAGCTCTTGGTGGCAGAAAGAGGTTTTCCAGTATTCTAACTTTTGTGTGAATGCCTGGTTTTTATCACCGGCAACAACTATAAGTTGTTTTCCTTAAAGTGACAGGCTCACTGCATTCATTTCTCAGGAAAATATCTGCTGTGTACCCAGGTGTGAATAACCATAGTTTTTCTGTCGGGTGTTCTTTCAAGTAAATGGTTCCATGAGGAAGCGTCCAGTTGAGCTCACAACCCAAACAGTTGCACAGGTGCTTTTCCCAAGGCAGCAGAAGTGCTTGATGTGTACTTGTCATTTCATGGTGCAGAGTGCTAAGATGCATTGTCAAGGGTTGGAATTTAGTAAAGTCTGCGCTCAGGCACTAGCATTTTCACCCACCGTTGCTTTTGTGCCGATCATCACTTCGAATGTCAGTGCGGTGGAAAAGGCATGTAACATGTAACGCCTTGGTATTATTATGAGCAGTTTTGACTTCATGGACCGCCTGAGGGGTGGGTCTCGGGGTCTGGGAGTAACACTTCAAGAACCGGTGGTGTGGAAGTTGGACTGTGGACACAGAGCCAATGTGGAGCTCTGGTTCCATCAGTTAATATGCTGTCCATGGGACCCGAGGGAGGCCACTTAGCCTTTCCAAGCCCTGTCTTCTCATCTAGAACATAAAGCCGTGGCCATCTTTATGATTGTTGTGAGGACTGATGGGAGAACTAAGGAAAATATTCCTTCTTTGGTGCCTAGTCTGTACTAGGCCCTAGTAAAAGTTATTTTCCTTTCTTGGGACATTGCGAAGGCATTGGAGATGGGAGCGCGGGGTGAGGTAGAGAGAAAAAGGAGGGGTCAGTTTGCTTTAGAACGTGCCTGCAGCCCTGGCTTATGCCTCCTGGAGGAAGGGGGAGAAGGGTAGAAGGGGAACAGCGGGTCTTCCTGGGGCTCTTGATGTGGGGTTGTCTTAGGGTCTCTGGGCCCATCCGTTCTCTGTGTATGATCCAGTGTCACTGGAGCTAAAGAGCCAGCTTCTCTGAAAATTGACCGTGTCTTCTGATTGCTCTCATCTCCTGGGCATTGGGCTCTTTACAGATAATCCTTGTTCAGCCTCAGAGCCCTCCACGGTTCACAGCTGGGAAAGCAGAGCCTCAAGGATGAGGCAGTTTTTCTACTAGAGCTGTGCCCTACTGAAAATCTAAGTGTAGTCCAGGACAAAGTTCTTTTCTTTCCAATTCTAAAAAATACTAGAGCGTGATTTTGTCACAGCCAGGTGAGATCTGAAATTCTTAAAACCTAATTCACTTTAATTTTTTAAAATAAATATTAATCTGATAGTAGTTTGAAGACTGTGACCCAACTCCAAAAAAAGTTGACAGTTCCCGTCCAGGGAAGATCACAGTGCACGTGAAGACACTGGCTTCTTTCTTTATCACATGCCTCTTCCTTATTGCCGTCTTGCAGGTGGAAAAAACGCAATGGGAATTTAGCTTTCAGGATAAGAGTCCATGGTTTTGACCTACCAGTCTGGTCGTTTGTCCCTGAGGTTAAATGTCAAGCCCAGGTGTGTAGTGATGTCCCAGGTCTGTCCACAGGAGAGCTCTTGCTAGTTCAGTGATGTCAGAGGCAGAGTTGTCTCCGTTCCAGGTCCCAGGCCACCAGCAAGGACTGCTTTTCCAGGATGGAACTGTGCCTTTACATCTGCAAGCATAAAATTTCAAGTAGAGTGGTCCTGTGTTTTAAACGACATTTTGTTCTCTCTGCTTATGGTCACACTTTGGATTTGGGGTCCTCAGACTGGACATATTGATAGACTTTCTCTGTGCCCAAGAGAGAAAGGACCCATCATCTCTGAGACGGAGGGGGATGTTTGTATTTCTCTTCCTCATCATGTGTGGTTCTGTAAGATACGTGATGGTGGGTCTGCGGTGCGTGCAGGATGTGACCCCGTCGCGAACTGGAGCATCCATTGTGGCTGAAGGGGTGCTGACCGCACGTGGCTCCTTGTCACAGTTTTGCTGCTTCCCAGCTCAGTGACCTTGAGCAGGTCCCTTCACTTTGTCGAGTCCCTTCACGATTCTTTTATAAGCTAGGGCTTAGGGTAGGTGCCCTTCATCTGCTGCAGGGGGTGGTTGATTGTGAGGCTTTAAGCACCTGGGAAGTTCTAAGTGGTGTTAAGGGCAGGGGAGCGCTGGCGCGCGCCCAGCAGCAGGGGTGCTATTGGAGAGGGGCAGGGCTTGCGCTGTCAGAGGGCAGAGAGCCAGCGCCTCATGGTGGCCGTGAGCACTGGCTCTCCAGCCGGGCCACCTGCGCTGGAGTGTCCACTCCTCCACGGTGTGACCTTGGGCAGGTTAGCCGACCTTCCTGCGCCTCAGTTTTTTCGTCTGAAAGCAGCCACATCAAAATAACCTCCACAGCATTGCCTGCCTCTGAGGTAATGATAACGCTGAGGTGCAGAGCTGAGCTTCTGGCCCAAGGGAGACGCTCAGTGCCGGGAGCTCTTATCAAGCTCGGGGCTACAGCGGGCCTTTCCTGTGTATGAAAAAGTTAGTTTTCAGGGAACTTAATGAGATGTGTGGTTTAGTCAAAGTCTTGTAGCAAAACCTGTATTTTAAAGCAGCTGTCATTTAATGGGGTAGGGTGGTAGGTCCTAGGGCAGCCAGTCAGAACAGGACAGCACCTCCCTCAGCACAGTGGGTGTGCTCAGTCAAGGGAGCCCTTATGTGAGACTCCCCTAGGTTCTTAGGGAGAAAAAGGGTGTAAGCTGGTGGTGCCCTGAGGGTGCTGGTTCTGAAAATTCTCTAACGTTCTTGGCAAAATTGCATTTGAAGCCTTACTTTGATGACCTTGACGTGGGAAATAGGACAGAGAGAAGCTAAAACAGTTCCTTAGATGTCTTGGATTACTCTGTTTTAGTTCCTGAAGAGATCATTTGCATGTGTCTTCTTGAGCAAAACAGGCACAGGTGTTTCTACCTGGTTGACCTGGATGTAAGGCCCGTAGCAGATGCTTGGTCAGGTGTGCCCTAGCGGCAGATCAGTGGGCTGGGAATCAGAAGACCTGGGTCCTGAGCCCCAGCCCTGGCTCTGCCACTACCTGCAGGTGGACCCTGGGGAAGTGCCTTCAGTTTCCGGGACCTCAGGTTTGAGACCTGGTCATCCTGGCCTGCTCGCTTCACCTGGGGTTTCTGAAGGCTCAGACAGAGAGTCCTGGTAAACTGCTTTACAACCAAACTACAAGGAATTAACCTAACAAATGGCTGCTGGTAACCAAGCTCTGACCCTCCTAATGAAATATTTTCTTTCTCAGTGATGTTACAGCCTTTCGATTATGATCCCAATGAGAAAAGTAAACACAAGTTTATGGTTCAGTCTATGTTTGCGCCAACTGACACTTCTGATATGGAAGCAGTAGTAAGTACTGAATGCTTCTTATTTTTTTCAGTAATTAAAAGAAATGATTAGGTGCAGAATTGTGGGTGCATGCATTTCAAAATGTGTCAAAATTGATTTTAAAGGGGAATGGTGCCTTCAAGGAGGTTTGTGCTTTGACTGCCTTTATGGTTTTTCTAAAACTTTGATTTTAACATTTCACGTAACTTTTTAGAACACTCTTCTTTTCTGACTTTTATATCTGGTGGCCTTCAGCAGTTCCTTCTTCTGGTGGATTGTGTCTTGAATGGTCTGAGGATTCTCTCCCTTCAGCCCCCTCCCATTCCCCCCACAGAAAAGGACAGTTTTCACTATAGAGAACCTTCCTACCACATCTTCCCCATCTTCCAGAACCCAGAGGGATGGGAGAGAGTTGAATACTAAATATCCTTCAACCCTTTAGGCATTTTTTTTTTTCATGCTTGGTTCTGGTAAGCATGATTCTGGGTTTTTTGTTGTTGTTTTTTTCCCCAAGTTTCCTTCATGTTTTGTTTTCCCCCTGCTTAAATACATGTTTAACTCTGTCTCTTAATTTTGGTAAAAATAAGATGACTTCATTTTCATAAAATAAGTAATTGATATATTACAGTTGGCCCCTTCATTTCTGTGGGTTCTGCATCTGCGGACATGGGCCAACGGTCCTAGCATTTCATGTGAGGGACTTGAGATTTTGGTAGCCGTGGGGGCGGGGCCCTGCGATCAGTCCCTCCTATTGATTTTTCTAGAAGAAGATTATAATGGTAGTTCTTCCCCAAGGTTTCACTTGAATAAATCAGCAGGCATCCTGGTGCTGTGAGTGTGAATCACAATATACTGATAAAGCTTAAAAAAAATCCACAGCACCAGTGAGGACAGACTGTCTAGCCCTCACAGTTTGGAAAAGAAGGGGAGGACTGCCGCAACATTTTCACCGCTTTGCAGTTCGCCAACTGAGACTAAGAGACTGAAGTCATCCGAGGAATGCCTGCAAATTTGAGTTAGCTGGGATGCACACTGTGCTGCTGCTTCTCTTTCACAGTTGTATACTAAGTGCTGTTTCCATGCACAGCCTACCTTCATGTCCCCGTGCCACCACACGGCTGCTTCTTTTCATCTTGGAAAAGCATAACCGACCACCTTCATGCATGTTTAACTTCCGGGTAGGAAATGAAGGGTAAGCTAGATATTTGGGGGTTTCAGAGAGATCAGTGAGAGTAGGCTTCCTTTAAGATTCCTTCGAATAGGAATGACTGTTGAGACATTCACTACATTTATTTCCTGGAACATGATGTGTCACTTCATGTTACTTTGTGTGACCAAGGAAATGTATGGCAACTGCAAAGTGTGGAATATCCAAGAATATATTCTGTTTGGCTTCTGCTGCATGGCTTGGTGAGAAGAGCATGGGCTTGGGCGCCTTGGGTGTGAAGCTGAGTTCTGCCTTTTACTAACATTGTGGCCTTGGGCGATGTTCATTAACTCTCTTGAGGGTTTGGTCACGTGTAAAATGGGGATGAAAACCTAGTTCACATGGCTGTTGTGGGATTAAATGTGCTGTGTATGTAGAACACTTGGCATAGTGTCTGGCATCTGGCAGCTGTTTTATCTGAGCACTCTTATAGGCCAGGCACTCTATATACAATAAAGGTGAATTTTACTTCCATGATAACTTTTATAACAGGTAAAAATTTTTTTATATGAAATGTACATTGTTGGAAATTTTGGAAATATACAAATGAGCAGAAATAAAACGGAAGTGACCTGTAATTTGTTTATACTAAACCCAACCACTGTTAATGAGAGCCTTGTGCTTTTTCTTTACTTTAAAATAGTTTTCTTTATATTGTGATATACAGAAAGTTGAAAAAATAGTAGTGCCTACTCATCTAACCTTTACTAAGACGCACCGTTTAACATTTTGCCACGTTTGCTTCGTTGCTGTCATAAACTTCCTTTTTCGCTGAAATACTTGACTGTAAGACACAGACTTCGTGACGCTTCACCACCTAACTGCTTCAGACAGGGACAGTCTCTTACATAGCCACAGTCCCATTATCACAGCTAAGAAGCTTAACATTAATTCAGTAATGTTTAATAGAGAAACCCATACCCATATTCACCATTTTCCAGTTGTTCCAAAAATGGCCTTTAGTTTTTCTTCTCCTAGAGCACCCTCACCCTTTTAACAGTCCAGGCCAGTTGACTTGCAGAATGTCCCACATTCTGGATTTGTCCAATTATTTCCTCATGATTAAATTCAGGTTAAATGTTTTTGTTTTCTTTTTTTTTTTTTTGGCAAGAATATTCCCTAGGTGGTGTCATGTATGATGCATCATATCAGAAGGCATTTAATGCCGTGTTGTCCCTCTTTTGGTGACACTAAGTTTGATTACTTGGTTAAGATGGTGAATGCCAACTCTCCCCAGTGTCAAAGCACATTTTCCCCTTGTGGTTAATAGGTTCTCTGTGATACTCAGAGTAATCAGATACTTGGAGACCACATGAACATCCTGCTTGCCGGCAAGCATTCTTTCACTTGGCGATTTTTGACACCCAGAGATGATCCTTGCCCCATGTTCTTTTGACACATGCACGCAGGCACACGTACACTCTGTGTGTGTGTGTGCGCGCGCGCGTGCAGAGGAACGGACTTAAAATATTGCTTGTAGTTTCTTCACTTAATATCCTGCGAATTTTCCCCATGCAATTAAACACTCCTCAGTATCCCTTGGATGGCATGCTGTTCCATTGACTGTACCTGCCATGGTTTATTTGGTGGTTCCCTATTGTTTGACATAAAGATTATTTGCCATTTTTGGCTCTGGGTACTGTGTTGCTCTCGCTGCCTCCTGCATGGTTCTGGGGTGAGGGTGGGGGAGTTCTTTCCTTTTTCTGTATTGCAGCCTTCCTGCTATGCTGGTCTGTAATGATCAGAACACCTGGGATTCCTGTCCTCCACTGCCAAGAGGAGGAGGAGTAAGCCAGAAGTGCATCGTCCCAGGACATGGATTTAGTCAGGAAGATGTTACTACCAGCACACTGAGGCAGTGGGGGTCAGCCCAGACAGCGGCGATCACAGGGAGTGGCCTGCCAGTTCTTGTGCCCTGTTGGTAGTTGGCAGTGTTCTAAAGCCACTCCCAGATAGCGCGTGCTTACTCTCTCTTAAGAAGGACGTGCTCTGCGAAGTAAGTTGTGCTTTCTTAAGGAGAGCCCAGATGTCCTTAGGCCATCCAGTTGCAATTTAGAAGATTCCTCTTGGGTCAGCGGTGGTCATCTCTGTCCCGTGTGCTTCCCGCAGACTCGTGACAGGAGGAGCGCTGGTGGGCTCTGAGGGGCCCGGCAGCAAGACGGGGCTCTGTGAAGACGAGTGTATTCAGGAGGGCCAGTGCGTTAATGTTGTCAGGTTAAAAGTCTTGAAATCTCAGCAGACTTAAGTTCTTTATTTGATATGCATCAGGGCTTTCTCATTAAGAGTATTTTTCTGAAATTGTCAGTTATAGGAAGAAAATTATCCTTCCAGCAGCTTTATAATATCCTGATTATTAAATTTAAATTGTTTTAGTGGAAGGAGGCAAAACCGGAAGACCTTATGGATTCAAAACTTAGATGTGTGTTTGAATTGCCAGCAGAAAATGATAAACCAGTAAGTATGTTTATAGTTAACAGTAATTGAATGTTGCAAGCTGATGCTTATTTGCGTACCATCTCCCGCAAAACCAAGATTTAAGTTGGCGAATTATTTTCCTTCTTCTGATGTATGTATGAAGAAAAAAATAAGCTGAAGTTAACAAATAAGTGGGCCTTCATGAAATCTGCCTTTGAGAGACTTGCAGAAAGACAGCTAATTGAAACATTTTTTTCCCTTTGAAAAGTGCAACCTGTTGGCTGTTGAAATGTCATAAATTACAAAGAGCTTCTGTGACTTGGCAAAGTTATAGGTTGCTATTTAACGGTGGGTAAGACCAAAACGGAATAATTTGCCGTTTATCCTGGTGCTTGGTGGACAGGTGGTGGTGAGCTCTGAGGTTCTGTTGTTTTACAGAGTGCCGCCTGTAGGCTTCCCCGTCTACACTTTCCCTCAGCACCACCTCTCTACCCGTTGAACCCCACCCACCTCTTCAGTCAAAATATGCTTTTAGATTAGGATTTCTCAACCTCAGCACTATTAACACTTGGGCTGGATAATTCTTTGCCGTGGGGGCAGTCCTGTGCCTTGTAGGATGTGTAGCGGTATCCTTGACCTCTGCCCACTAGATACCAGTAGCACCCCCTAGTTGTGACAACCAAAAATGTCTCCGGATATTGCCAGATGTGCCCTTGCTGGGGCAGAATGATTCCCTGTTGAGAATCGCCCCCTTTGCTTTCCGAGCGGCTGAGGGCAAGGAGCGACTTCCTCCAAGCTGTCAGCTCTCTTTTCTCTGTGTGAAACCCAAGGGATAAGCCTGTTGTGGCCCTGGCTTGTGACCAGTTGGAGAGAGAAGATTATATCAGTAATGCTAATGTGGACCTCCCTTCAACCTAGTCAAAAAACTTATAATAAGTTGTATTAAAAACACAGTTTAAAACACATGTAGACCATTCAACCACCCTGGCTGTTAACAGCTGGAGGTGGGAAATAGAAATGCTCACCTCCTCAACATTATCCATAGCCGTCTGCAGGAGTGCTGATGCTTTGTGTCAAAACTACATAGCATTTTCTTTCTGCTCAATAAATGACCACTATCATTATCCTGTTGGTTTGAATGGCACTGGTCTTTTTTTCTTTTTTTCCTTCCCATTCCCATTCCAGTCCTGGGAAGGTCAGTTGTGGACGCTGTGAGATCTGTATTCTGGCCCTAGCTCTGTGCTAGGTGATTAGCTCTGTATGTTGGGGCCTTGCCTTTCAGGGCCTCACTCTTCTCACTTGGGAGAGACGAAGGGTAGAGCTCCTAGTTTTCAGTTTGCTGCATGGAACCCCCAGGGCAACGATCCCCAGTTATTTTATTTTCCCGACACACCTGAGTGCTTCCATGCCCTCCCCCCCCCCCCCT